TTTTTTTTTATATATATATATATATATATATATATATATATATATATATATATATATATATATATATATATATATATATATATATATATATATATCTCGATGTTTGTATTTGTGTATGTCAGCGATTGTCTTAATTCAGACCCCTAAGACGGGACAGTATTCGTTATCTTTTCTATTTTCGTTATACTCTTAAGTTTAAGGCATATTTGTTTGTTTACATTTCGATTTTGGTTTTAATTTATTTGTTTTTGTTGTTGTTGTCGCTGTTAACGGGGTTTAGCGGGAGGTAGGTAGTTGAGGTAGGTGGGTGGGGTTAGGTTGCAACCCCGCCCCCCCCCAAACCTCCGCCATCATTATTCCATCCATGAACAAATGTCTCTTGGCGTCCTAATTCTGTTGTTGTGGATAGGCAGCTATGTCATGGAGATTGACCGGGGATTGACCTCTCTTTTATGGGGGGGGGGGTTGTTATGGGGGGGGAGGGGGTTAATGAATTTGTGCATCAACCAACCAGGGGCTACACTTACACAAAGATATGCACTGGGTAGTACCCCAGAAATACTATCCATGAACAAATGTCTCTTGGCGTCCTAATTCTGTTGTTGTGGATAGGCAGCTATGTCATGGAGATTGACCGGGGATTGACCTCTCTTTTATGGGGGGGGGGGGTTGTTATGTGGTGGGAGGGGGTTAATGAATTTGTGCATCAACCAACCAGGGGCTACACTTACACAAAGATATGCACTGGGTAGTACCACAGAAATACGCCTTGCTTTCTGGTACGTAGTAATCCTTTGTTCACGTTTCACAATCCATTCAGTAGTATGTATATATATATATATATATATATATATATACATAGTAAAAACTACACGAAAAACGTGTTGCATGAGAACAGCTTACATCTCCTGATTACGTTAAGAAAAATGATTGTGGAATAAAAATAGCAAGACATATTCAAATAGTGTGCCGTCTGTAGGCGTTACAAGCCATGTCTGCCTCAGGTGGGCAACACAAGAGATGTTCAGTTTGTACAAGCCATTACAAGCCATATTCAGATTGTGTGCCGTCTGTGAGCATTATACAAGACATTTTCAGATCATGTGCCGTCTTCGGGCATTACAAGCCATGTTCAGATCGAGTGCCGTCTGCGGGCATTACAAGCCATGTTCAGACGCAGACTATGTGCCGTCTGCGGGCATTACAAGCCATGTGTGCCTCGGGTGGGCAACACAAGAGATATTCAGTTTGTACAAGCCATTACAAGCCATATTCAGATTGTGTGCCGTCTGTGAGCATCATACAAGACATTTTCAGATCATGTGCCGTCTTCGGGCATTACAAGCCATGTTCAGATCGTGTGCCGTCTGCGGGTATTACAAGCCATGTTCAGACGCAGACTATGTGCCGTCTGCGGGCATTACAAGCCATGTTCAGACGCAGACTATGTGCTGTCTGCGGGCATTACAAGCCGTGTTCAGACGCAGACTATGTGCCGTCTGCGGGCATTACAAGCCACGTTCAGACGCAGACTATGTGCCGTCTGCGGGCATTACAAGCCATGTTCAGATCGTGTGCCGTCCGTGGGCATTTGAAAAGGGGGGGGGGAGGGGTGAATATTTAAAAATTGTAACGGAGACTATTCTCGTGCTTACTGACACAGTTTCACTTGTTCAGAAATTTAAACTAAGAAACTCTTCAGCTAACGGTGGTCTCACGGATGAAGAAAAGAAAGTGTTCATGTTTTATCAGCGGCAAATTGTAATCATGCCGTTAAACCTTCCTTGTCTTTACTTTAATCATTTCTTGATCATCGCAGGCGACGGTCTAACATCCCACAGATGTATTCTGTCAATGCCATCAAGCAATCGTTTATAACTACTCACTTCTAAGTCATTTCTAATTCGGTCTTTTGAAAAAAAAGAATTGAATGGTTGCAAATAATGTGTAGATTTATGCTGATGTCCGCGAGTTAAAATGACTGTTCTGGTGACGGACCGACGGACCGATGGACAGATCATGGACTAGGTCCAACAAAACTACTTTTGAAAGAGCTGCCCCCGGGACATGACTTCCTTGTTGTGCCTCCCAACATTTGCAGACTCCTCCCCCCTCCCATACACCAGGGGCGGCAGGTTGGCTTCCATGATCAAGTTTGGCAAGTTGATGAAAGAAAACAGTTTGCCTCTGTGTGTTGGTGGCCCCGGGGGCAGAGGGGGCGGGGAGGGGGGCGTCTATGCACGTGAGGATGCTTTACGGTAAGACCAGCAATGGTGTAAATGCTTGGGTCAATGTGATCAGTGTGTTTAAAGAATGGCTTTCGTGGGGATCTGTATCCGATATTTGAGCATCGGGGAATGGATTCAAGTCGAGTACGATCAAGGCGATCTGGGAGTTCGATTTCCTAATGTTCGATTACTGAGAATAGAGATGTACTATGGTCAAAATGATCTGATGGTCCAACATGATGATTTGATTGGTGAATTAATGTTGGAGTAACTATGATGGTCCAACATGGTGTTTTGATTGGTGAATTAATGTTGGAGTAACTATGATGGTCCAACATGGTGATTTGATTGGTGAATTAATGTTGGAGTAACTATGATTGTCCAACATGGTGTTTTGATTGGTGAATTAATTTTGGAGTAACTATGATGGTCCAACATGGTGTTTTGATAGGTGAATTAATGTTGGAGTAACTATCGACTGGGAAAATGTTAATTAACAAACGCACTGAGATTTCTAATGGGATTATTTTACTTTGCAGTTAACTTATTGCAGTTCTTACCTCCCTTTCTTGGCTCATACTCACCTAAATAGATTGATGATCCATATAATCACCTAGATAGATTGATGTCCCACATAATAACCTAAATACATTGATGCCCCACATAATCACCTGAACAGATTGATGCCCCACATAATCACCTAAATAGACTGATGCACACATAATCAACTAAATAGATTGATGCCCCACATAATCACCTAAATAGACTGATGTCCCACATAATCACCTAAATAGACTGATGACCCACATAATCACCTAAATAGATTGATGCCCACATAATCACCTAAATACATTGACGCCCCACATAATCACCTAAATAAACTGATTACCCACATAATCACCTAAATACATTGATGCCCCACATAATCACCTAAATAGATTGATGCCCCACATAATCACCTAAATACATTGATGACCCACATAATAACCTAAATAGACTGATGACCCACATAATCGCCTGAATAGATTGATGCCCCACATAATCACCTAAATACATTGATGACCCACATAATCACCTAAATAGACTGATGACCCACATAATCACCTAAATAGATTGATGACCCACATAATCACCTAAATAGACTGATGACCCACATAATCACCTAAATAGATTGATGCCCCACATAATCACCAAAATACATTGATGACCCACATAATCACCTAAATAGACTGATGACCCACATAATCACCTAAATAGATTGATGTCCCACATAATCACCTAAATAGACTGATGACCCACATAATCACCTAAATAGACTGATGACCGACATAATCACCTAAATAGATTGATGCCCACATAATCACCTAAATACATTGACGCCCCACATAATCACCTAAATAGACTGATTACCCACATAATCACCTAAATACATTGATGCCCCACATAATCACCTAAATAGATTGATGCTCCACCTAATCACCTAAATAGATTGATGTCCCACATAATCACCTAAATACATTGATGTTCCACATAATCACCTAAATAGATTGATGCTCCACATAATCACCTAAATAGATTGATGTCCCACATAATCACCTAAATAGACTGATGACCCACATAATCACCTAAATAGATTGATGCTCCACATAATCACCTAAATAGATTGATGTCCCACATAATCACCTAAATAGATTGATACCCACATAATCACCTAAATACATTGATGCCCCACATAATCACCTAAATAGATTGATGCCCCACATAATCCCCTATATTGATACCCCACATAATCACCTAAATAGTTTGATGCCACCCTCCACGCCCGCCAGCCCCCCCCCCCTCCCCACATTTTTCTTTAAGGTTGAGTTTGAATTCCCGGATGATGTAAGCCTTAAATTTGTATCAAAATGCCATGAAATGTATTGACCTAATTTCGATAATAATAAAAAAAATATATAGTAAAATTATAAATGAGATTATATCATGAAATTACAGAAAATATTTTTTTTTTAATGATCCAAACGATTATATTTCAAAACATCACTTTTTAAAAAAAAAAAAAAAGATAATAAATGAGCAATGCTTAAACATGTATACATGCTTTTAAAGGTGCCTCTCTATCGCTAAGACACAAGAAGTTCCCCCCCCCCCCCCCCACCCCCCCCCCCCACCCCCCCAACCAAAAAAAAATATTTTTTTTTTTTAATTTTTTTTTTTTTTAAATCCTCACATTGACCTCAGTGGGGTGTGCGCCCAACGTTATGAAACACTGGTGGATGGTTGCATGGATTTTAAAGGTGTCTATCTATCGCTAAGACACAAGTAGTTCCTCCCCTCCCCTCCCACCCCAACACCCCACCACCCCAAACAAAAAAAAATATTTTTTTTTTTTTAATTTTTTTTTTTTTTAAATCCTCACAT